GGCCCTAGGCTCAATTCCCATTACCACCAAAAAAAAAAAACAAAACCAAAGAGGCAGATCGGTATAGGGGAAATAAATGTAATGCTAAACCTGCTAGATATCAAGTACGCTGAGCTCATAAACTGAAGAATGAATTCTAAGGAAGAAAAGTTAAGAATAGGAAATATTTATTAAGGCTCCTGTTGACAAGAGGACCCAAAAGTGGGTTGCCACAAATCCCACTTTACAAAGGAAGTTTTATAGAGCAAAACTCCTGTTGAGAGACAAGAGGACCCAAAAGTGGGTTGCCACAAATCCCACTTTACAAAGGAAGTTTTATAGAGCAAAATCACAAGGTGGATACAATGTGGGTCAAAACTATGATCAACAGGGCCGGGGATTTAGCTCAGTGGTTCGGTGGCCTGCGTCATAAGCGCAAGGACCTGAGTTCAATCCCCGGAACAAAAAAAAAAACAAAACTATGATCAACAGTAAGATTACAAGTATAGCTGTTTAGTTAATATTAATCCAATGGGGAAGCAGGTCATGTAACAAGAGTATGCAGAAAGAACAAGGACCTTTTTAGGAAGAGATGAATCAGGAGGTCCTGGTAACCCACCTGGGTGACTTTTGTCTATCTAGACTTTATCGGACCAGGTAGTACCAATTATAGTACTGTAGACTGCTTATCTTTTGGGAAGGCATACAGGCCTGGCCATACCATCTTTATCTTAAGGCTGGGCCTTTAATGGATGCACCTGTAGCCACAGTTGTAATGTAATTTTATCCCCTGCACTGATTCCCTCAAGGGCCTAGCCCTGTCTATATTATTCTTACCTAACTTAGCTGTCTATAATAAGATCACTCTACTGGCTTCTCACATCACTTAAAGTCCTTAAAAACCTGTAGTGCTGGAGATGTAGTTCAGTGGTACAAGCACAGGCTTAGCACGTGCTTCGCTCCTGGCATGTAAAGCACACACTCACGTAACATAACACCCATAAGACCATATAATGAATATCTCCATGATTTTGTTCCCTGCCTTTTGTAATGCAATGGTGAAGTTCAAACCCAGGACACCCACAATGCTAAGTAAGCAGGCTACCATTCAGCCATGCTCCTGTGGGACTGCATAACTTTGTAATCCTAAATTCCTAGCCTCAACTGTGATTCATGTAAATTAACAGGTGAACCTTTAGTAGTTCTGGGTAAATACATAAGATTGTTTCACTCCTTGTCTGTGGGGAAGGAATGTTTTGAAAACCTTGGGACTTTCTTTACGCAACTGTTAACCATCAACACATGACCTAGTACTGCAGAATACTGCCACTATGTAACTGCTGACCACCAGCACAGACTAGCAGACCATTAACCTTTGCCCCCTGCCTACATGCTTTGAGTATAGACCCCACACCCTGCCTATTCCCTTATAAAAACAGCCTAAGCCTCTGAGCTGATGCCTCTCAGTTACTTGGCTCCGGGAGTGCCTTCTGGCCAGACTAAAACTAGTCTGGTGTGTTCCTTCCTCGGTGATTCTCCCTGCTCGTCAAGCTCCTGAAGCAATAGCTGGGCTACAAGCCCTGCATCTTGGAGGCCCTTTCGGCTGTTCAAGCTCCTCGGAGTGGAAGTAAGGCCCTAGGTCTTATACTACCAGCCCCCTGCTGTCTTTCTTGTTTCCTTTTCTAGTATTTTTTTCACTCATTTCACTCTGTGGTGCAGTATTCTGAACTCCCTGCTGTTCCTACTAAACAAATGATTAATAAAATTTAAAATGCTTCGTTGGAAACTGGATAAAGATGTGGTTTTTCTATAAAATGGAATATTACTCAGCCATAAAGAATGAGAAAATAGATTCATTCATAAGAAAATAGATACATATTGAAGATATACTCCTAAGTGAAATAAATAAGTCACACATGTGTAAATACCGAATAGTTTCTCTGGTGTGAATAATCTGCAATAATACATAAGATCCTAATAAGGTTACTGACATTTAGAAATGGGAAGAAAAGAGCTAAAGGTGTAGGGAAGGTGAGATGGGTAGGGGAAGGGTAATAAGGGAAAAGAAAAAAATGTGAGATAATGAAAAGATGGAAATAAAGTGTTTGTAGATGGGGAGGGGAGGAGAGGGTGAAGGGAGGGCAGGGGTATGGGGAAAAAATGAGAATCAAGACTTGTCATGTAGAGGTACAAGATCCCAACAATGAATGTAACTGTACTGTATCCCTAAAATGTACCAATAAACTCAATTAAAGCTGGAAAAAAAATTTTAAATGCTTTATCACTATAAATGCTTGAATGGAATTAATTAAAACCTCAAATCAAAGCCAAAACTTAAGTTTCAGGTTATCAGGATAGGAAAGATATGTTTGCTCCAAAACTGCACCACTATGCTTAGACCATTTTTTCTTTCATGTGACAGAAGAAAAATTGCACAGTAGACAGAAAATACAAGAATCATTTCATAAGGCTTTGTGTGCATCAGACCAACTATGTAAAAAAATTATAAAAAAAATATTTTGGGGGGGTCACCAGGGATCAAACTTGGGTCTTTGTGCTTGCGAGGCAGGCACTGGAACAACTGAGCTAAATCCTCAGCCCTAAAATATATTTCTTTAGGGCAAGATCAGAAAAATTAGAAAGACACTACTCAATGTACCTCTAATGATTCAATGTTCTAAGATCAACTATATTCAAGGATGGAAAATACATGGCATTATGGTTTGCGTCTAGATGTCCCCCCAAAGCCTCAAATGGTCACAGTGGCTTTTCAAGAGGTGGCTGAATCTATAGTGTGTGATGCTGGGATTAAGGGTGTGTGATTACTAAACCAATGTACTGACTGGTCTGGTACTTAATCCTAGTAGTCTGGATAAAAGGGGCAGGGAGATGCTGTTAAGCTTCCCTTGGTTTTGCTGTCTTCTGCTGCCATGTACTGTTACCCCTCTGCCACAGGCTGCCGCTCTTGCCTTGAAGCCAGCTGATCAGACTGAAACCTCTACAAACCATGAGCTAAATAAATCTTTCCACTTTAACTTTGGGTGCCAGGTATTTTGCCTCAACAATAGAAAAGACACATGATATCCCTAAAAAGTGATACTTGGTAAAATGTTAAAAATTCAGTTTATAAAAAATTAATTTAAATTAATTAAATGTCACGGGATGTGCTCAGGCTGAATCCTTGGTCAATTTCATCAGTTGGGGAATTAGGAAATGATTTCAAGGAGTCAAGTTCCTCATGTAACAGGGACCTAAAAGCTGGGCCTACAGATGTTCAAAATTGACTAAAAGCAGGATAAAGTCTGGCATTTCTGTCTTCACTTTTTGTTTTGTTTTGGTTTTTTGAGGCAGGGTCTCCCTTTGTAGTTCAGGCTGGCCCTGACCTCACTATGTAGACCAGGCTGGCCTCAAACTTGAAGTGATCCTACCTCAGCCTCCTGAGTGCTGGGATTACAGGCGTGCCCAGCTGTCTTCACTTTGTATCTCCCTTATCTCAAAATTTTGGGTCAGATCCCTGCTGGACTCTGCGGTAGGCATGTTAATCACTTAAGGAGTATCTATACACAAAAGATATCACTCTAAATTTACCTAGCCTCTTTTATTCCCTTTCAAGATTGGGGCAAACAAGGTAAAAGTAATTTCCAGAATTTGCTTGGACATCCAATTGCCAGTTTTTAGGAGGTCCAGTTTCAGACCCACTGGAGGCAATGCTTTTAAGCTTTCAGTCACTGTCCTAATAAACCTGCAGCCACCTCGGATCCCAGTAATAGCAGAGCCTCTCACACCAGTCCATAAGATCACCACTCCCTCAATCCAGCACACACACTTCAACACAGGAACTGAGGCTGTCCCCCAAAGCTAGAGCAGTCATCCACTGCCCCAGGAGATGGCCGAGTCTCCCAGAACCATGCCTGAGATACCCACCACTTCTAGACCAGCATAGCTATGCAAACCCAAACCCTTCCATGCCTTTTTTCCCTTTCCAGAACACCACAAGGCTTCTGTTGGTTTCTAAAAGACAGACCTTGAGCCTCTATAAAGTTATCTGTACTTCCCAGCGTGGCCATACTGACTAAAGCTCCTTTCCTGCCTGTCACTATTAACGACTGGTATCACAGAAAGGGGAAGCCTGCTCCGCCGGGCACACCAAAGTCAGGGCTTTTGCCCCAAAACTCCAGTGTGTGTGTGTATATATGTGTATATATATGAGGGAATTTAGTATATTCTGTCATAGACCCTAAAATTTCCTTTTTAAAATGTTTACCATTTACAAAATGATTCAACTCCTTTATTTACTTCACACTCAAACAGCTCTCGATGGGGAGGAAGGCTAAAGTGTTAAACTTCACAGATAAATGCCTTGTATAGGTTCTCCACAATGTCAGGTCACGGCTTCCAATTTTGAATAAGCCACATACCAGAGCTGTAGCAAGGCTTCGTTAAATCCCACTCCATAGCTTTGGCAAAACCTGCGCTGCGGAATTAAAATATTACTCAAGCCACCTTAAATTAAATGACGCCACGGTCTTTTGGTTTTGGTTTCGTTTTTGGTTTGTTTGTTTTTTTGAGACGGGGGGGGCGTTTACGATGTAGTCCAGGCTGGCCTCGAACTCAGGGCGATTCTCCTGCCTCAGCCTTCCGAGTGAGCCACATGGGCTGCTCCAAAAGACAGCACTTTAAAAAATGTTTCAAAACGAACAGAAAAAGCAGCGGGAGTTCTCAGTCCTTGGTCCCTGTCCACCTCCGGAGGCACCAGGAGTCCGGAAGGCTCTCGGGGGCGGGGCGATCAGAGTTGTAAACAATGGCGGTTGGGCCCCGCACTAACGCAAAGGGCGAGACGCTGGACTGCTCCCGGGGACAAGGCACACGTGGGCCTGGACCCCTGGGACCTCTGCAACCCACAGCCCAGTCTGTCTCCCTGAGGGCTCTGGAGCCTAGGCCCGCCCGGATCCGCACTTGAGGCTCCCTATCGCCCTTCCCCGAACCGCAGGTCCTCCGAGGACACAGGAATCCAAACTTACCCAGCTGGCGAAGGAGAAGACGCCCAGCACAGCCCCCATGGTGACGCTGGAGATGGAGGTAGTTGGTCCGCAAGCTTCTAGCTCGGCTGTAACTGCTAGCTGAGGCGTCGCCCCAGAAACCCGAAGGCTTCTCAGGCCGGAAACACAGCCCACCGTACGCAGGACACGCGGCAGGCGTCATTGCGTGGCCCCGCCCACCGCCCTGGCTTGTGGTGCCTAGAGGGCACCTCTCATTGGTTGGTAAAAGGAAAGGCGGGGCTAAACCTTCATCAGGGGAGGAAGGCGGGGTTAAATCAGCCACGGTTTGCCGGAGGTTTCAAGGGTTCGTTCTTTGGCGTTTATTTGTTTAGATTCCTTCCTGTGTGGAGATTGGCACAAAAGTGCACATCTAAACTGTGTCAGCTTGGTGTGGCGGCGCACTCCTTAGTACTATGAAGAAGTAATATGGAAAAAAAAGTAATATGGGGAAATGTTCAGTATAGCGCTCCATAGCGTGCGGGGAGCCCTGGGTTCGATCCTCGGCTTGGGATTGGGGGGAAGCATATTTAAGGGTTTAGTGTTTGGGTTTTTTGTTTGTTTTGTTTTGGATACAGGGTCTTGCTATGTAGTTCGGGCTGGCCTTGAATTCCTGGCAAGCTAACTGCTGGGATACAGGTATGCACCATTATGCCCGGCCTAATGCTTACCAGCAAGAGAACACCAAATACTGGGACGCAGTTAACAGGTAAAAACTAAAAGAAATTTATTATACACGTGCGGACTCAACTCTCAAGAGAAGTAAAGCCCTGTTACAGGATTGTACATAGGTTTTATAGGGTTTTTCAAACAAGGAAGTTTAAACAAAGGTCAGGGCATTTACACAGCGGCAAGGGGGTAAGATTTAGCAAACACACTCGTTTATCTTATGGGGAAGTGTTTTATGGTCACCTCTGACATTCCATCTGTTCCCGGGGGCGGGCCTGCGATCAGCACAGAAATGGTTTTTGCAGTTTTCCCCAACTTTTGATAAGGGGAGGGGGAAGCAGCACTCTCTGGGGTCATTAGCAGGCCACACGGAGTCACTTTGGCTCAGTTAGGTCTCACACTTACTATTTAATGGGAAGGTAACATAGTTGTGGAATAGTCTCCCTGTAGGGCACCACGATGCTCATCAACTAGGCCACACACTGAGAGGTATGACAGCAGATTTTATTCAGGAAGGCAGGTTAGGGAGAGGAGAGAGCCAAGGAGAAGAAGGCACAAAGGAAGGAAGGTCCTTTTATTGTTTTGGGGATGGGCTATTGCTTATTTATGAGGGGTGGGCTACTTTTAACTTATCACAGGCAAGGTTGCCCTTTATGGGTTCAGTCCTGCAGAAATTTAGGTTTAACTCCTCCCGACCTTGGGAGGAGGGAATCTAAGAATAAGAGCATGAGGTCATTTTAAGAGCCAAGAAGTAACAGGAAAATGCAGCCTGTGATGGCAGCGTCAGGTCCCTAATATCTCCAGATACTCTTTTTGTTTTGTTTTTGGTACCAGGAATCGAACCCCGGTCCTTGCGCTCGCTAGACAGGCGCCAGAACAACTGAGCTAAATCCCCGGCCCTCCAAATGTTCTTTTGATGAATTTGTAATTTTTTTTTTTTCCGTTGTGCTGGGGACTGAACCCGTGATCCTGCTGGGCACATTAGATAAGTGCTAAATGAATGAGACCTTCAGTTCCTTGAACCAAAGGATCTGTCCAAGTTAATGAAGAAAAGATGAGCATTGTTTCCTATGTCAAATGAGAAAATTTCAACGTAAAGGCTTTGATTGGCTTTATTTCTGATTCTGCAATAAGGCAATTCTTCATTCCATAAAATAGAATAAATGGGACCAGGGATTTAGTTCAGTGGTGCCGCTGCCTGCCTTGTAAGCACAGGGTCCTGAGTTCAATCCCTGGAACCAAAAAACAAACAGAATAAATGGCTGGCACAGTGGCACATGCCGGTAATCCAAGCACTCAAGAGGCTGAGGGTCCCTGCAAGTTCAGTGCCAGCCTGGGCTACATAGTGAGTTCAGGGCCAGCATGTACCATAAAATGAGACCTTGTCTAAAAAATATTTTTAAAGTATATATAGAGAGAGCAAGAGAAAATGAATGTTCTGATGATCTAAGCAAAGGAGTTTGGTTTTATAGACAAAAGAGCCTAAAAAAAACTAAAACAATGCCACCAGCGGCCCAGACCTATAATCCAGGCATTCTGAGAGGCTGAGGCAGGAGGGTTCCAAATTTGAGCCCAGCCTAGGCAAATTAGCAATTTAGTGAGAGTCTGTCTTAAATTTAAAAAAAAAAAAAAAAAAAAGGAATAAAGAAAAGAACAAGGGTCAATGATTTAGCTCAGTGGTTCCACCGCCTGCCTCGCAAGCACAAGGACCTGAGTTTGGATACCTGGTACCAAAAAAACAAAAACAAAAAGTCTTAAAGGGCTGTGGAGTGGTGACAAAAGAGTTAAAATTCTCAACACCGTTTCCATACTTCCTTCCTTAACAACACACTTCTCAGTACATTCTGAACAGTCATACACACTGCACTAATTAGGACTAAAACTAGTGCAAAATAAAAGTAAATATAAGGTGGGGGATTTAGCTCAGTGCTCCTGCTGCCTGCCTTGCAAGGGCAAGGTCCTGAGTTCGATCCCTGGCACCACAAAAAAAAAAAAAAAAGTAAATATAAAAACCACCCAGCCAAGCATGGTGGCACACGCCTGTAATCCCACCACTCAGGAGGCTGAGGCAGGAGGATCGCTGTGAGTTTGAGACCAGCCTGGGCTACATAGAGAGCTATAGGTTAGTCTCATTTACATACTGCGAACCTGCCTCAAAAAAAACAAAAACAAACAAACAAAAAACCACCCTTTATTCCCCTGAGATACTGGTATCTTCCCCCCAAAAGATTACTACAGACACCCTTGTGTAAATCCAAAGAGGCTTTTTTTTTTAAGGCCTAAGCAGAGTCCTTGACAATTTGCAACTTTGATATACAAGCTTACTTACAAAATTGGTGCTCCTAAAGGATTAGCAAGGCACATTTTTGCTGGGGGGGGGGTTCTAAAATAGCTACAGTTGCCAACTCACACCCTTTCCCTTGTCTTCACTGCCATCTAAAAAGCCCAGTCTCTCACCCAAGTGTGGAGTCCTCTTAGAAACTCTCCCACTGCCCCTCCTGACATCTGTGCTCAGTGAGAGATCTACACAGACTCTTGTCTTTCCTGAATTCTTTGTTCATTGGTAAATTATTTTAGTGCCCACATCACTAGCCCTCTAGCTGCTGTCTGGCACAGCATAGGGATATCTGTTTTGTTGGTATCAGGGATCAAACTTGGGTCCTTGCGCTTGCGAGGCAGGTGGCAGAACCACTGAGCTGAATCCCCAGCTCGGGATATTTGTAGCTCAGTAGGAAAGCACTACATTGGATCCTCAGTACTGGAAAAAGAGAGGAAAAAAAAAAAAAAAAAGATTAGCAAAGTTGCTTTATAAGGCAGGAATAGGAAGACAGAATAATAGAAAAATAACTGATTAGTTATCACTGGTTATTTCAGGTTTCTTGTTCTGTTTAAATATTTATTTTGTTGATTAAAACTGGCAGTTTGGAAAATGTGGCTGTTATTTCTAATCCTGATTTCTGGGAAAGCAAGACAAACAGCTCAGTCTCAGATTAGTGACATGGAACTTGAGTGTGAACTACTCCATTTTGATTTTAGCCTGGTCGGATACAGCCCAATGAAGAAGCAAAGACCAAAACAATGGCCTTCTGTAATGTTTTCCTTTTTCGTTAGGTTTTTTTGCTTTGTTTTTTGAGACAAGGTCTATGTAGTTCAGACTGTCCTTGAACTCACCAGGTAGCCCAGGCTGGCCTTGAATTTCCCAGAGATCCTCTTGCCTCAGATTCCCTAGTTCTGGGATTACAGGTGTGTGCCACACCTGGCTTGTTTTGTTTTTTGAGACAGGGTCAACCATGTAGTTTAGGCTGGTCTTGAGCTCCCCTTATAGCCCAGACTGGCCCCAAACTCACAGCAATCCTCCTGCCTCAGCCTCCCAAGTGCTGAGATTATGGGAATGCACCACCATGCTAGGGTAGATCCTTTTTTAATAGTGAAATCTTCATTTCCCAAACCTATCCAATGGGCAAATACATCTATCTGTAGTTTAATATTGTTTTGTTTTGATGTCTGTATACATGTACTGCAGTGATGGCGGGGTAGAGCTCACTTTGTAGTGCAGGCTGTCCTTGAACTCCTGACGATCCTGCCTCAGCACAACTGATAACTAACCTTTGAAGCATGTTCATCAACACATGAATCGATAAACGTGGTATTTGTACATGTGGAGTACTACACTGCCATAAAGAAGGATAGATTTAAGTCATTTGTAGGAAAATAGTTGCATCTTGCGAGCATAATGTTAAGTGAAATAACTAAAATATATAGTCAGATTATATGGTTTTTCTTTTTTTATATGGTTTTTCTTCTGTCACAAAAAGTATAAATAAAGAGCAAAATAAAGGACTGAATAGGAAACAAGGAAGTAGAGCTTTTGCAAATGGGAAGGGGATCACCAGATAGAGGGAAGAGGGAGGAAGGAAAGGAGAAGGGGATGAAAAAATAAGATGTGTTATGTACATGTTCCAACTCCCCATGATGAATGTAATCATTGTGTACTGCAAACATATTAATAAAAATAAAAATTAAATTTTTGAAATAAAAAATATATAAAAATTGAGTGTTCATTTAAAGAAAAAAATGTGAAAAGTACATTCATATTACTATACATACAGCATATGGGCTTTTTTGTTTTGCTTTGCTTTTTGAGACAGGGTCTCACTGTGTACCCAGACTGGCCTCAAACTCTCAGTAATCCTCCTGCCTCAGCCTCCCAAGTGCTGGAATTACAGGTGTGCACTCCATCCCCCGGTGGGGTACACAGATCTTTTAAAGGGAAGGAAAAGCTGAGGACAAAGGAAATCCCACAAATATGTGAAAAAGAAAGGTTCCTGATGCACATAAGCTACCCTGACTCTAAGCTGTGTGGCTCTAGGCTACACATGACTGATAGCTCAGGCTCTCTTTAGGTGTGGGTTTTTTTTGTTTGTTTGTTTGGTTTTTTTTGGGGGGGGCTATTTGTGACAATTGCTCAGCAGCAACCTCCGATAAAAGATATTA